ACCAAAATACCCCTTACTATTTTCGGCAAACTTTCCTTAACTGGACAGCCTAACTTCAAAAGGTCATATCTCACTCATCTGACCTCGAAACTTAGCAAACTCGGCGGCGTTGGAAAGATAATTCAAAGATCTTCGCTACGGTATCTGGTAGCACACCTAAATCATCATGAGCCAGGAGTTATGGTCATTTGAAGTCGACCCAAAACTCATACTTAAGCATAACTTGCAAATTTTCAGATTTTGCTATTTCCAATTTAATTCTTTTTGAAACTCAAGGTACTACATAGTGACCTTAACACTTAAGAAATTGTAAATTCCTTGGTAAAATCTCACTCACTACGAAGAACTGTTCGAGTCGTAATTTGAAAATTTTCTGGGTTGTTACCGTTTATCTCTTTTCAATGTGGGTCCCCTGCTAAAGTTGAGCAGCTTCAACATATTTTTGGGATAAAAAGTTTCTTTTTGCTTAACTATAATTTAATTATTTATGAAGAGAAAAAAGGTAAGTCATTAATTTTTCAAAATTATAGGACCTATATATTTTCGGGGAAAAAAGTTTTTCTTTGCTTCACTATAATTTAATTATATTTATTAAGAGAAAAAGGTAGTCATTAATTTTTTGAAATTATAGGACCTATTTAGGCTATCGATTTTCGTGTTAAATTCAGTTTTTTTACATATAGCTTCTGAGCCTGTTTGGATTAACTTAAAAGTTGGTCAAACCTATTTTTAAGTCATTTTTAGCTTTTGAAAGTGTTTAACAAAGTTAAAAAGGATTTAAAATAATTTAAAAAGGTTAAAAATAAAAAATAGAAATCTCTCACTTTTTTTTTTTAAACTTAAAAGTCATTTAAGTTTGACTTTAAAAATTACTTTTTAAAAGCTTTTTTTTTTTCCAGCCAAGCAAAACAAGCTCTTCTTACTTTGAGTGTCGTTGAAATTTAAGTAAATTTTATAATTATTTTAGGTAAAAGAAAGTGGAAAACGATGAACAAAAAGATTTCAATTATGGAGATCCTAAAAGGATTCATCACGTCAAATTTTCGAAAAAGAAGAATGAAATTACCACACCATTTAAAATCATTTAATCAACACCATTTAAAAATATTTATCACATATTCATTTCACACTTAATTAGATAATCTATTACCACAAATATAAAGTTGATTTTTATTAAAAATAAATAAAATATTTAATGAATATTATTTCAAACAAATAATTTATGAGTTAATATTGGGCACGTGATCTGCACGGACTATTTCCTCACTAGTATTATAAATACACACAAACCTAAACATAATGTTGGTATCTCTATAAGATATAAGTGTGCATGTTTCCTCTTTTCTTAGCTTCCAAAATGGAGTATCAGCAGTTTCCCTACTTCATCTTTATCTCACTTGTTCTCTTCCTCTCCTCTTTCTTCCTTGTATCTCAAAAATGGAAAAAATCAAAATCTCCAAACAAATCATTGCCTCCTGGACCATGGAGACTACCTTTTATAGGAAACTTGCATCAATTAATGAGCGATCTACCACATCGTTCACTTAGAAATCTATCGAAAAAATATGGCCCAATCATGCACTTACGTCTTGGGAACATTTCAACAATTGTTATATCTTCATCGGAAATGGCAAAAGAAATCATGAAAACTCAAGACCTCCATTTTGTAGATAGGCCACAAATTATGTCCGCGAGTATCATACTTTATGATTGCACGGATATAGGCTTTAGTTCATATGGAGATTACTGGAGAAATATGCGAAAGGTTTGTGTCCTAGAACTTCTTAGTACAAAAATGGTCAAATCATTTGCTTCAATTCGACAAGAAGAGATATCAAATCTCATTTCAACTCTCCGTTCCAGTACACCTGACTCATTAATCAACTTATCCAACAAGATCTTTTGGTTTACAAATACTGTAACTTGTAGGTCAGTATCTGGAAAAATCATACATGATCGAAATAAGTTAATAATGTTGGTAAAAGATATTTTTTCATTAATTGGAGGATTCGACTTAACTGATTTGTTCCCTTCCCAAAAGTGGCTCCATAATATCAGTGGAATGAAATCCAAATTGTCAAAGGCACACTCAAAGGCTGATGAAATCTTGGAGAAAATCGTTAATGATCATCGAGATAATCGAGCAAAAGGTAAGAAATGTAATGGTGAGTATGGAAATGAAGATTTTGTTGATGCTTTACTTAGAGTAATGGAGAGCGAAGAATTTGGACCTTCTATTACAAATCAAAACATTAAAGCAGTCATACTTGCAAGTATAACACATCTTTAAAAGTAATTTTATTTGTGTTATAAATCTTTTAAACTTCGATATTATTTATACCTTTAATTTTACACGTAGGACATGTTTCTAGCAGGAACTGAAACAACATCTACAATATTAATTTGGGCATTTTTGGAATTAATTAAAAATCCACGTGTCATGGAGAAAGCACAACTCGAAGTGAGACAACGATTGAATGGGAAAAAAACATTTAATGATACTGATTTGGAAGAGTTGAACTACTTGCAATTCGTTATCAAAGAAACATTAAGGCTACACCCTCCGGCTCCTCTGTTACTCCCAAGGGAATGTAGAGAAGAGACAAAGATCAATGGATACACAATACCTGTGAAAACCAAAGTTCTGGTTAATGCATGGTCGATTGGTAGAGATCCCAAATATTGGCATAATTCAGAAAGCTTTATTCCGGAGAGATTTGAGAATAGTACTATTGACTTTAAAGGAAATCACTTTGAATTTATTCCGTTTGGTGCAGGAAGAAGAATGTGTCCCGGAATGTTATCTGGTTTAGTTAATGTTGTACATCCTTTATCCCAATTACTTTATCACTTTGATTGGAAGGTTCCTGATGGAGTTAATCCAAATGATTTGGACACGATTGAAACAGAAGGATTAACAGCCAGGAGAAAGAATGATCTTTATTTAATTGCTACTCCATTTGGTCTCTCTAAACAATTAAAGACATAGACATAAAGAAGTTTGAATTTTATTTAAGGTAATTATATTGCATATTTAAGGTGATGAATAATAAGGCATTAATAGTGTCTATTGTATAATAGAGTAAGTTTTTTTTTTTTTTTTTTTTTGCATGTATCTGTATTTTTCAAATTTGTGAATGGTAAACAATGATCCATATATATGTGGAATAAATAAAATATTTAGCAATATCCTTATATATGTGAAATATTTATATTTTTGGAATTGTTTAATTCTTCATTATGCTAGCTAGATTTTGATTGATCTTTATTGGGGAAATTGTATGAAATAGCAAACTATTAATTCAAATTAAATGTTATAGTCATAGTTTATTTTAATTGTAATTCGCAGCAAACATTGCCCTTTTTTGCCATCTGATTCGATATACAATTAGTCATTTTATACATTTCGGTATAAAATATATAAAATGCGTTTGTGTTTGTATAAAGCGAGAGAAAAGTGTATATACAAATGCAAATACATATATTTTCGTCTTATACACTTATAATTATACAAATACAGATCTTATTATACAAATTATAATGTATAAACGAATTTATACAAAACTGAACAATTTGTATAAAATTGAATGTTTGTAGCGAATTATGCATATCAAAAGCTCTATAACAAACATAAAATTTGCTATGAAGCGCAATTATGCAAACTATAGCTAAATTATAATGTATAAACGAATTTATACAAAACTGAACAATTTGTATAAAATTGAATGTTTGTAGCGAATTATACATATCAAAAGCTCTATAACAAACATAAAATTTGCTATGAAGCGCAATTATGCAAACTATAGCTAAATTATAATGTATAAACGAATTTATACAAAACTGAACAATTTGTATAAAATTGAATGTTTGTAGCGAATTATACATATCAAAAGCTCTATAACAAACATAAAATTTGCTATGAAGCGCAATTATACAAACTATAGCTATAATTTTTATATTTGCTATATAAGAAAGTTGCTCCTCTTTATTTTCATATCCAATATGGTCATCAAATTAGGCCCCCTTGACCTTTTACCGGAGTAAATAGAACTTCACAATCCAGGCCAATAGGATATTAATTAAATTGTTTCTAAAATTATTGTTAATTGTATTAAGCCTTGGCTTGATATTATAATTGATCTAGCTAGCTTCTTAAAGGGAGGGGATAATGTTGTTATGGTTCAAGAATTCAAAAATTGTGGCTGAAAATGGGAAATTCCTTATCGAACTAGATTTAGAGAAAACTTTTTGATCGTCTTGAGTGGCGCGTAATATTAATTATTGTCATACCATTGTATTGTGGACATCATAAATCAATTCATGTCATTATCGGTCCAAAGCATCTAACATACGTTACTTAAGTTGTATCCTTCAACCTTTTACCCTTCTGTATCTGAAATTGAATGTTGATGGTAACTATTCCAACGAGAGGCAATGCATGTGGTATGTTGAGAGACATACAACTTCTATGCTACCATACCTTATGCACCAATTGCAATAATTAAATTGCGAGCTTTAGGTATATGTCATCTAACTTTGAGAAAATGCTCATTTGTGTCATTTAAATTTGACAAGAGACTTATTCATGTCATTATTTGTTCAATTTAAATTTTGCATACTCATTTTTTACACGTGGTTAATTATGATTCGAACAAATCATTTTTTTTAAGAGGAAAGAGGCTCAAATATGCTATTGAACTTGGATAAAAGACTCATCTATGTCGTTTGGGTTGTATATATCATTTTAATGAACAAATAATTACATGAATGAGCATTTTCTCAAGTGAAAATAACATAGATGAGTCAAATTTTTAACCGTAACATAAATGAATCTTTTCTCCAATTCGATAGCATATTTGAACATTTTCCATCAAATATACATTGCCTTTACCCTTTCCGACACAACTTATGAACAATTGAACATTGCGGATAATTTAACAAGATAGATAGAATGAAGTTAGTACCAACGCCCCCCCCAGAACTTGTGAACAATTGACTGAACACATGCAAATTTTCTTAAATTGACATGAGCTTTACCTCCAAAACCCAACAACTCATAGCTCTTCTCAGTTCTTGTTCTTCTCTGAAACATGTTTTCCAAATTCATACTCAAATCATAATCTCAGGACTATCTCAACAAAATTTCATCCTCCTCAAAATTGTCAACTTTTTTGCTTCTCATACTCCCATAAACTCATCTTCTTACGCCGGTCTTCTCATCAAACAATCGCAAAATTCGTCGTGGTGGAATATCCTCATTAGGAATTATGCTACAGGTGAATACTGTTCACATAGTGAAGCCATTCGGTTTTTTGTTGAAATGCGGCGTTCTGGAGCTGCTTCTGATGAATTCACATACCCTTTTCTTTTCAAAGCTTGTTCGTCTTTTTTGGGTCTGAAAGAAGGGAAGCAGATTCATTGTGATGTCATCAAGATGGGTATTTGTAACAATGTGTATGTACAGAACACTTTGATTCATTTTTATGGGTCTTGCAAGAAGATTGTGGATGCATACAAGGTGTTTGATGTAATGTCGCTTAGAACTGTTGTTACTTGGAATTCGATAATTTCGGCTTGTGTGGGAAGCTGTTGGTATTATGATGCGATTGAGATTTTTCGCTTGATGAGAAAATGTGGGGTTCAACCTGATGAGACAACTATGGTGATTTTTCTTTCTGCTTGTGCTGAGTTGGGTGACTTGATTTTAGGGAAATGGATTCATTGTCAAGTGATTGAGCAAGGGATGCATGTGAATTGTCAATTGGGAACTTCCCTTATTGACATGTATGCTAAATGTGGAGCAGTGGATTATGCTCGTTTGATCTTCGATAGGATTGGTGAAAGAAATGTGTGGACATGGAGTGCGATGATTCTTGGATTAGCTCAGCATGGATTTGCAGCACATGCCTTGAAACTCTTTTCGAAAATGAAGGATTGTTCTGTGAAGCCTAATTATGTGTCCTTTCTTGGTGTGCTTTGTGCTTGTAGCCATGTTGGGATGGTGGCAGAAGGGCATCGTTTGTTTCAAGAGATGGAAAGTCTCCATAGCATCAAGCCTATGATGGCACATTATGGTGCCATGGTAGATATCTTGAGTCGTGCTGGACGTCTGGATGAAGCATACAAATTCATAGTTGTCATGCCCATTGAGGCTGATGCAGTCATATGGAGGACATTGCTCAGTGCATGCCACATTCATGATATTAGCGACTATACTGGAGTGGGAGAGAAGGTCAGAATGAGGTTGCTTGGATTGGAGCCTAAAAGGAGTGGGAATTTGGTCATGGTAGCAAATAAGTATGCTGAAACTGGATTATGGGAGAAAGCAGCAAAATTGAGAAGAGGTATGAAAGAGAGACGACTTAAGAAGATCGCTGGAGAAAGCTGTGTATCAGTTTTTCAGAATCGATAGAGGTTGTTATCGAGTTCCAACGTGCAGGATGTTGGTGTGTGTCTGTCATCTTAATGAGATTACATTAGAAGATGTATACTTGAGTAACCACTATGACACACTATGTGTTCTATGCTATCAAACCGAAATATTAACAAAACAAACAAAAAAAAAAAAACAGAAATATCAACCACCTTATATGATTCAAGTTATAAATGGCATGTCAGCTACACTATCACTCACCTAAAGGCTGAAAGCCGAACAGAAAATAAAGCAGAAGAACCAGCTCCTGTAATCCATAAACTCAGTCCTCTCTAATATTTATTGCTACAAGAAGAAAAAGTAGATATACACCCCACCACACATATATAAGTTAAAATCTCTTAATCGTTATTGTCCCCTCAAGGGACAAATGATTGCCAATTATAGATCATGCAAGGTTCCATACTCATTGCTCAAGAATCTCACTGAAAGAAGATGGTTAACCAAGAAACAGAATTGTGCCATGCCAGCACACAGATGAATAAAGTAAATTCACAGAGGCACCAGATTGCACAATTTCTTAAGCATCCTGGACAGTGGACACCCATATCAATCTGCACAAGTCTTCCCCATGACAACCCAGGTAGTACCAGTGAATCCTCCTCTGAATTTGACAACACTATGAAGTTATGGTCACACCACCGAAAAGTAGGTCCAGAAAAGAAATTAAAAAATCAAGAATTGGATACCATGGACTCTTTTACCCCAAACTTTCCCCTCCAAAACTTTCTGAAGGCCTTTGGCCTCAAACTTCTTATGGTAATATAACCAGCCCATTTTTCTGTTAAAAATTGTAAAGAGGAAATGAAACTCTACCGAGTCCTCTTCTTTATACCCAAAACCTCCTATTAAGTAACTGGACATATGTTTATGCTGGTGGAAAATTTAAAATCAGAAGCTAATTATTACTTATATGAGAGCTTGGTAATGAATGATAGCCTGGTATATGTTGATAAAAGCTTCATCAACTCTTTTATGAATAAAAAACTATGAATGTTCTAAACCTTGGTGAAACCCAAATTGTTATCACAATTCTAGTCTCTTTTCATTAGCACTAATGAAATTAACTACAGACTGTTTTTTAGTGAAAAAAATAATCTAAAAGTAGGTTACCTCAGATGCATGTCAAATAAGCTAAATGTTGAAGTGTATTAACCACCTAAACAGCTGAGAGAACTAAAGTGAAAATGATATCTTCGCCGCAAATGAAATCCAACATCTCTTGATGGAGAATAAAGAGAGTTAATTTATATTCTCATATCAATGACCATCTAAGGATCTCATCTAAATGCTTTTACTGCATCGCGTACTCCAAAGTGGCAATATTTGCAGTAAGAACAGCAAACACCAGGCAAAAGTAAAAGTATAAAACTGAACAAAACTACTGTGTGGCTGGGCGCGGGGGGGGGGAGAAGAAACGGTATAGCAACAAAATGACCAAGCATTACCTCCGTGATAAGTGAGAGAAATCATCTTCTGATTCATCATCCTCATGATTCACATTCATAAGGGGTGCAACAGGAGTTTCTCTGGGCAGTACAGTAATTGTTGAGGTTCCTTTGGCAATATCATCATGTCTACGAAGAACTCGCTGCAGATTGTCATTGAGTGCCAATCCTTTACACAGCAGATCCTCGTCTCTATTTGCAAAGGAAAACAATTATAAGGGGCTATTAGAAATGTAATAAAACCACAAAAACTTCAGGTTCTTACACAGTGTTGTTCACAAGAATCATCACACGCTTTTGGTAAGAACGACGCTGTTCAACAAGATCGACTATCACCTCCTCCTTCACGGACTGCATAGATGTCACGTAATAAATTAAAACATGAACGATAATTCATCTTGGACTTAACAAGTACCACCAAACATAAATTGGATGTAACAATTAATGCTGATGAACCAATATGTATTTTAACACTCAACGTGGAATGTAACATCACTTATACCGAAAATGGAATACAACATGATAGTTCCTTGTATTTCAGCTATAAAAGTACTGAAAGTAAGAATAGGATATCTACAATTTATTAACCCTATTTTACCTACAAAATTAAACAAAAAACTAATAAAGACCTAGATGCAACAACATGCCCCCATCAAAAAGGGAGACAAAAACCAAGCCACATATTTTACATTAAAGGACTTCTGAAGGTACAATTTCTTTTTCCTCTACTAATTTTTGTTTCACTGGGGAGGGGATAGTTATCATTTTACCTAAGCTACTCATTTCAATTAGTGAAGGGGTGGAAGGGAGCATTCAGAGAAAGTGTAGTTCCGAAATTTTCCACTTACTCGAATAAAGTACCCAAAGACTATCTTAAAAAACTCATCTAACCTATGAATAATTCATACTGCCCTTCCGGTTTTCAACTTTTATAGTAGTGAATGGGGACAAGTAACCACTATGAACCTGAGAAACAAGAGCACAAACCAAGTTCTGACCTGAGGGTTCTTTGGATCCAAGGCACCAAGCAACTCCGTCAGGACATCTGATAGCCCCTCAGCACTTTGAATCTCCGCAACACTGAAAAGACAGGATACCAGAAATGTCACTTACTTGAAATAACCAGTTCTTTAGAAATGTTGCTTACTTGAAACTAGCAGTTCTTTATTTGACTTTCTACATTTATTTTGTACATGACGTCTCGTTAAACAGCAGACAAGGGACAAAAGGCATTGGAGAAAGTTGCAGTAAGTAGGATAAAAAATCCTCAGCAATTAGAGTGCATAGTAGTTGATCAAAAGCTCTTAATGGTTTACTACGTACATTCTTCCAGCTTCAATGCATCAGCTATGAATGGGTCAGAACTGCTAGCTCATCATGTAATAGAAAATGATAAATGGATCTTGGGCCTAACTCAACCCCAAAAACTAGTTCAAGAGGGGAGGATTGTCCAAAGACAATAATACATGGAAACCGTCCATCCCTTTTTCATCCAATGTGGAACTCTTCAACACTCTACCTCACGCCCAGGGATAGACATCTAGGGTGTGGGAAATTTAATATGGGGTGCCAAAATTAATCAACTATGAATTAGGATAGGTCCTGCTCTGATACCATGATAAATGGACCTCAACCCCAAAAGCTAACTAAAGAGGGGAAGATTAACTAACACCATATATAAGGAGACCACCCATCCCTTTTTCATCCAACAATGTATTGTTCGAATCAGAAACTTCACTTACACTTGAACAAGGTTGCCATAAATGCTGAATACCACAAGTATTCATATAAATCTTAATAGTCAACTTGGGAGTCCAATAAAGGTACACTAATTGACCTTTAAAACACAGAGGTGGTGCAATAGTGAAGCACTTACTGAAAAGAGGGAGGTGCACATAAACAATATCCATATAAATCTTAATAGTGTTCTTTAATAAGTGAAATGCTCATAAACAAAATTCTAACACTTTGAGCAGGAACCATATATACCAAACGGAAAAGAATAAGTTAATCAATATACCTGAGTTCGGAGGGATCAGACTCAAGAGAGGCCTCAACTGCAGCCTCCTCATAAGCTGAAGGCATGTGGACTATTGGATGGGTTTGCGGTGGTGTAAATAAAGGTACACTGTTTTCCTCTCGAGGTGGAAACTCTACACCTGCGGCCTGCAATGTTCATTTTTAAAGAAAATATATGAAGATTTGAATGAATCTAGATCAGTGATCAATCAAATTGGTAAAAACTAATATTATCCAAGTATAAAAGTTGGAAGCCAGAATGACGAAATAACCTTTAAATGTTGATTGACGGCAATATCTTTATAATGCAGTATCTCTTTAACATCAATGTTAAAAAATATAAAAAATTTCCAAATATATAACAGTCAAGTCATTCAGAATCTTTTCCAATACTCTATTAGAAATGCATATAGAATGTATAATCATCATATATCTACTGGAAATTGGGCCTACGGCAACGATATTTATAGCAACGGTTGTTAAACTGTTGTCATAGTATAGGTATAGCAACGGTTTGATGTGTTGCATAAGGTTCATGACGCTATTAACACATATTATGTACCAAACCGTTGCAATTACATAAAAAACGTTGCAATAGATTTGGTATTGCAACGACTTTGTGCAACCGTTGCAATAGAATATTTGTGGCAACGGTTTATTTTGCAATTGCTAAGTTTTGATTTCCCTCCTCAATTTTCCCTAGTTTCACTAAACCGCCAAAATATATATACCTTCAGTTTTCTTAAACTTCTAATTTTTCTTATTTTCCCAAAAATAATAAAACATGAGAGTTCTGTATATTGCTAGTGCCCTAAAATCTTTGGAAAATCATAAAAACACACCCAAAATTGTAGGGCTTAAAATCGCAGTCTCAAAATTGCTTGTTCGGTTCAAAATCGCATCTTCGGTGAAGTTATTTTTGTGTCCAGAAAAATTAATTCTTTGGTTAAAATTGCGTTTAAGTTTCTTCTAGTTTACGTGTATTCACTCCTGCAAAAGAGATAAGTTGTGTCTGTGTTCACACGACTAGTAGAGCTCTGAAATTGCTGCTTCATACAGTACTAAACTTCATAAAGCCCTAATTTAAGGGTTTTTTTTTTCTCATGTCTATTTTTTATGTTCTTCCTCACTGAACTGTGAAGTCATTTGGATTGATTCTTTGATGGGTAGATTTTGAAAATATGTGGAGAAAGAAATCGATGCCAGCAGCTGAAGGAAGAATCTGTAGTTTGATACTGTTGTGGTATGGTCTTTTGATTTCTTCATAATTCTTCAAATTATTGAGTTTATGGATATTTGTGATTGTCTAATTAGCATATATTTTTGTGATTTGTATCTACAAATTCTATTGTACACTTTTTTTTAGTTTTACCACATATCTAAGACTTTGAAATCTTTTGTTGTCATGAGAAAAATACGCTCACCAATCTTTGATTTTGGAGATTTTTTGGACTTTTGGGTGGCAATGTTTGATTGTGTGCATTCAGATCCAAGTTCCTGAACATACATGGCCAAAGAGGCACACTTCTACACCCTTA